CTATCTCTTAAAAAATCTAAATACTTGGTGCCATTTAAATTACCATCCAAAATGTGGTACCCTATTCCCCATCGTAGCAGTCCAAACATTCACTTTAAATGAATGTTGAAAATGGGACTCCTTTTTGGCCCTAGGATTTTCTTCAGTCCACAGATGCTCATTATGAGTAATGAACACTCCTGTTCGAGAGAAAGTCGTTTCTTCCGTAAAAAGGATAGATCGTAGAAAATTCGGATTTTTATTTTTCCTTTCTTCCAGCAATTGACAAAAATCTGTTCGGAGCTCGTAATCATTTGATAATAACTCTTGCACTTTTGTATAATGATATGGATGCAAGTGTTGCTCTTTTAAAATTTTCCAAGTACCACACACGGACACATTTGTTCTTTGTAATAATTTTCTAATACTCACTGAGTGCTCCTGAAAAATCATATCTAATATATTTTCCTCTGTTTCAGCAGTCCTTGTAGTTCTTGGCAATCCCAAATTTACTTTTTTTTTTTGTTTAAACGAGCCTGTCTCCCGACATCGCCTTTCAACGGCCAAAAATGTATTTCTATTTGGTAATCTGCGACCAGGAAGTTTTTCCGAATATCGCCTTACAGCAGCAAAACTGTTTCCTAAATTGCGTTTAAAGCAGTAAGCAGTAAGTCTACATCAGGGTGGCTAGGAAAATCGACATGAAAATTGCCTGGTGCTAATCTTAGAGTAATCAGCTTTTCAAAAAGATAAGATTATAGTATGAGTATTAGTAAATAAAAGGCATCCAATCTTGTGTACTAAATGATTAGAAAGTCTGACTTCTATTTCTCTGAGGATATTCTGTAAATATTTAGATATATCACATCTATTGCGAGCATTTATTGCTTTATTGGACTGTATTATTTAAAATTAATTTATTTATTTCTTTAAGTTAACCGAGAATCTGCGAAGTAATGAATTACAGCATAAACTACATACAACTTTTTTGAACAAGAACATAAATAACAGGCATCTATTTTATCAAAAATTGGTTTACCAAACTTTATATTTTTAATTTTTCTTACTACTCCCCTAAATTGCACAAAAACTGTCATTATGGACTAAAAAGTTAACTGTAGCCGAGTTAAATAGCACCTAATTTGCTTTAAAAAATATTTAACGCTCCTTTCCAAAATTTATCGCGTCCGTTCTAAAAGACAAGTTGCATCGCATTTGTTCTTAGAAGCCAAAGGCGGCTACCTTGGTAAATTTGTTTTTACACTGCCACCAACCCCTGATAATGAAACTTTAATTGCTTTAGAATTGCTGAGGAAACAATTATCCAGGTAGTTTAGTTTGCAGGCCCACCCAAACGAAATTAACCGGTCGCCTATCGACCGGGATATTAATTGTCCGGTATTAAACAGAACGCACCTAAAACAGCAGTTTACCTTACAAAAAGCAGATATTTAGAGGGCTGAGATGTATATTGGTAACAAGCTATTAGCGGATTGGTTTTGGTCTAAAAATATTATGAAGTGCAAAATCTGTTAAATTAATTATTTTGATATATTCTCATAAGATCTTAAAAATTTGTGCTTGTTTGGGATATATTGAGGCTTGTTTTTACGTTTTATTGAATTGTCCTTATAAATTAAACCATTTATTTGATAAAAACCTCCTGGTTTCAACCAGTAACGTGCCACTAAAGCGTTCGCCAGCTTTTCCCCGTACTTTTTTCTAGGGAAACGGAGCAGCACCTTCAGTAGCACGCCACTGATTAAACACAAGGTTAATATTAGATTCAATAAAAGGTCTAATAACGTAAAAAATTTCATTCAAATCATTCAGCGTAATATGAAATATTTTGGAAACTTGAACACCCCGTATTTCGAATACCACGTTCCCCAGGAAAAAAGTTTATAGAGCAAACTCTAGTTAATTTTTGGCAACCATCCTGTATAATGAATCTATTACCGGTGTTTAATGTATCTGTTTTACAGTTTTTACATATTTTTGAGAACACTTTTTACATTTACCTCACCAAGCATACACTATATAGAATGTAGTCTCTAATATTGAGTTTGTTTAGAAGTTTCAGCGCTCCCGGTGGGTACACAAGAAACTATTTTTTTTATTGAGCATTTTGAATGCTGATAATATTGAATTAACATTATCAATAAGATATAAGTTATCAATAATAATAACTATATTTATTAAATTATTAATTTTTCAACAACAATTGGCATATGTATTAGTGATTGAATAAACTATTGTGGTAGTATCACCTCATTTTTAAGTCAAATATGAAGAAATGCTTAATTCGATCTAGAAAATTCTTTTCTTCAACACTAAACCACAATGAATAATATCAAATGATATTTTAAAATTGACTAAAACTCCCAGAATCGCTGAAAATGATTCCTAACTTCATAATGTAATCGTTGCCAAATTACAATAAGTTAAATCTCAGTAAATATCATGTAAATATCCATTACATTTGCAAAAACTACTATAACAGCTTCATAACTTTCACGACACAATTTATATTTCACATAGTAATGCAGATACCACTCTATAAAGTTTATGCTTTGTGGTTTATCTGTTTAGGTATTGAATTTATGTCATCTTGTATAAAATTTTAATAATATTTTTAGGTTACACCATATATCACAGATCACAGACATCACATCGTCTGAGATGCTCTTGCGGTAGTGGTCTGTCAATTAAAATTCTCTTGCATATTAAAATGCATCACAAATTCTTTTATATGCTCTATCTCTCGAACCTTTTTTTCAGACTGAGTCAAAGGCTCTTTTACCTTCGAATCGTCTTTGACAAATTTACAATTTACAATTAAATTGAGGAATGATTGAATTTCGTTTTTTATTTTAGATACTTGTTTTGATTTTTTCAGGATTTGGTAGGGATACTACTCAGTATGATATCTTCTAAAAATGTTACGGTTAAACATTGTTGCTTCAATGAATTTTTATAATAATGTTGAGAGTATTAGTATATCATCCTTGTGGACTAGACATATATTTTACACCAGAGGCGTTCCAAAAATGTTATTGTTCTAGAAATTGTGATTGGTCTAATTATACTTTTAACTTGGTTTGTCTAAATCTGTCAGAAATCGATGCGCTATTGTAACGATGTTGAGAATATTAATGACACCTATTTTAGACTATACATCTCTCCTGTACAGAAAATGGAATATGATTTATTTATTTCGAACGTTGAAGCAGTATTCGAAAAACTCGAGAATGCTGTTTTCTCAGTATCCTTATCCATTGGCTAGATCTGATGAATATTGGCTTCTTTCTAATTTGTCCAAAAAGTCTTTTATATTTGGTAATTTTTATTCAGTTTTCTATAATGTATTATAATTCTAGACCTTCCTTTTTAGCTGTTATCAATTTGTTTTGGGAACAATCCATATGGGAGATGATAATTGTGAAAAATTGAATTACATACGTATTTTGTTCTAACATGGAATTTATTTATATCTAATTTTTGGGAACTTATTGTTACAGTCTTTTAAAAGCGAATAATCAAAAATTTTTCTCATGCAGGTTTTTATAATCTGTTAATTTTGATAATATTAACCTTTGTTTATGGGTTCCGGTACAAAATTTCGTTTTTAATTAAACATTTTTGAAATTGGAATATCGCAGACCAATCATATAAAATATAGAGATCGACCAAAATTTTGAGGACATTTTTGCTATACTTTAGATAAAATACAGGGTGATTCACAACTTATTTTAAAAAAATTGGGAATAGATGGGGCATGAGAAATGGAGACAATATCTTACAAAAAACTTTTTGTAAAATCCTTATAGTTTCCGTGAAAAAAATGATTGAATTTGTAGTACCTACATTCAACCATTACATATATGGACAACTGTAGTCTCTAGCGTCATTCGCAATAAGCGTGAAGAGCCACGTGGCCTCAGCGACTCCGAATACTGAAATCCGATATTACAATCGTCGTTGCGATAGTGTTTATCTATTATCTGTGGTGTTTACGATAGTTTTTTTTAGTAGTTAGTATCAAAAATGGCTTGCGTGTATAGCAACTCGGAGCTGATGGATATCGTTTTAATTTATGGTCAAGCAAGACAAAATTTGTATTATGGTGAAGCATTTGTGTTATGATGAAGCAAGACAACATTTGTGTTAGTTTGTAGAAACTGAGTAAGACGGACCCAAAAGTGTTTACATGTCGCAGCATATAATTTTGAACAGTTGTTGTAACGTCAAGTAGGTATGTCAAATTATTTTATTATTTAAAACAACAAATTATTTTATTAATTAATAATAACAATAACGACAAAAGCAGTTGAATTTACTGATATAAAATTCTATTTATTTCTATCCTTACGAAAGTTTTTATCCGTTTTTGTCGCAATTTGCCGCCATGCCGGTCGCATTGTGCGAAGTCAGGGGTTACAGTGAACCAGTTTCCAGTGCCGTGCAGAAGTGTATTTTTAAATCATTTTCGAACTGCCCTTTTTGATTTTTTCTTTACAAAATTGTATTTGTAAGAGTCCCCTGTACATTTAAATTTTTTTTTTAATAAGTTCTGAGTCACCCTGTATAATACCATATTCATATTTAGCTATGCAAAAAACTGTACCTATCAAATATATTTAAAAATTAAGGAGTTCTCTTAAATAAAAATCGAAATAATTGAACTTTTTATGAAGGCAAAATTATATTAAATAAACAATCTCTGTTTTATGCTATTAGATGAGGTGAATTGCTATATTCCGGTTGATCTATCACTAAATTAATTATATTTATATTTAGTCTGGCCAAATTATCATTATACAGTTTGTTGTTACATGTATTATAAATTCATAATTAATATTAATCTAATATGACGTAAGTTATTCTGGTTGAGTTCACGATCTAGTGATAATTAAAAAAAGCCAGCCAATTTTCCACATTCCAGGGAGCAAACAAATAAACAACAAAGTAATCTGTAAGTTTAGTAAAATATTTACACATTTAACAGCTAAAACCGTGGTATAATACATTCATATTGATAGAGACATTCAGATAAAAATTTTAAAAATATTTACAATTTTATACTTATGATTAACTAAATTTTAGTATCACATTGAGAATGTTCCTCTACTACTTTCTCACCATTCAGAATTTGTTGTATTTCATCCAACGTCTTCCCCTTGGTTTCAGGAATGTAAAATATGGTAAAAGTAAGTACAAAAAACGCCCAAGCGGCAAAAAAATAAAAAGGCACGTGCAACCCATACTTCTGAGAGAGAATCTGATATATCTGCAAAGCGACAATGCCTCCTATAACATACATCGCATCAGCGACTGTCACACCAATTGATTTCAACTTCACTGGAAACATTTCACCTGTGATCATAATAGGCACAATCCCCATGCCAGCTTTGAAGACTCCCGCGTATATCATCGAAGAAACAATGGGTACCCAGCTCACGGGTAAGACATTGTAGCCCAAAGCCTTCAGATTGAAATAAATAGCCAGTGCGAGAAGACAGAGGCAAGTTAGGAGACTTGAGAATATCAACAGAGCTCTTCTTCCGAACATATCCGACTGGAACGACCCGAAAATAGTCGCTAGAAGCATTATAGCCGCGAAAAGAATAGCAGCAACCGCAGAGTCCATGTAGATCGTTCCTGCTGCTTCTAGTATCAAGTGTAGATTCATCAGCATGACGGTGTAAGCGCACAGATGTTGACCTGTATTCAGTACAGCTAGGATAAAAGTAGCTTTACGAGAACTTTTAATCAAGAAGAGGTCTTGTATTCTTCCTTTATCTGACTTTTGTCTTTCTATGTAATCGCAGATTTCCTTCAGTTCTTTGTCTACATCGCCGTTCGGTCGTAGGTATTCCAAGGCTATCCTTGCTTCATCCACCTTGTTTTTGTACAATAAGAAATGAGGAGATTCTGGTACCGTTGAAAAGATCAGAAGTTCCAGTACGACAACTGTAGCTCCGATTACAGGTGCTGCATAGAATGGGAGGTATGGTCCTACGCAATAGACTGCCAGACAACCTATGTGCATGTTGATGTATATGATTCCAGACAACAGTCCCCTTATCTTCTGTTCTGCTATCTCCGCTGTGTACATGGGTGCTGCCACGATGGCCATATTACAACATATGCCCAGAAAGAATCTCGCAGCAAATATATATTCTATTCTATTTCCCAGTGCCATAGTTAACCACGACAGAAGAACCACAGAGGAGGCGATAAGGAGTGCTTTCTTACGCCCTACGAAGTGCACTAGGTATATTGTTATGGGAATGCCGCAAAAGGAACCTATGAGAAGAGTTGTTTCCAACCAGTCTCCCTCCTTGTGGGTGGTTTTGATGTGGCTCTTCTCGCTCAGGAGGTAAGGGACGTAAGGCGCAGTCCATGCGTAGGTCATTCCATCTGATATGGCGAACAAAGTGCCTGAAATTTAAAAAAATATCATCAATATTGATTTTTCGAATGTCCATGTCATACCTCAAACTACAGGTGGTTGAGCCTTGGATCGTTTTTTAGCCCAACTAGCTTTTATGAACTAAGCGTTTTCGAGATAGAGCGCTGAAGCCTAATTAAATGTAAATTTTCAGTGAATTAATTTATAAATATGTAACCGACTGTTGGAGGTACCAGGGATTATCATACAGTATGTTCACGGTTAGAGTGAATAAAAGGAACAACTTTTCTATTTCTCACTTTACGGGAAAAAAACATTTGATAAAAAGTGTTGCTTGCATTTAAAGTGAGATTGCCATGGAGATGGCAACATTTCATGTACGGAGTGTTAAAAAATATGAAAATGTCATAAGATCTTTATTTTTACACTTTGGAAAAAGGAAAACTTGTTCGGAATTAAAAGCTACGAAAGAATTCCCGTTTGAGGCAAAATTATTTTATTTGGATTATTTACAAATATTTATGTCCACGGGTAGAGTGAATAAAAGAAAGGACCTCTTTATTGTACAGGCTAATTCATATAACATTTTACCCCCTTAACTTTTTTTATTTTTTGCGTTAGATAAAAATAGTAAAAATAAAAGTTGTAGGGAACCTTTCTGTGAGTTTAACGAGTTTATAAAAATAGAAATTATACGGGTCGTTTATACTTTTAATTAAATTTCTCTTAAAATTATTGACTTGACCAGATTAATTGAAAATGCGAATTTCCTGAGATATATTTCCTTCGGGTGATTTACATTATTTGTTCCCTCTTGATATACTCTATTCTTTAGAGTAAGGTATCCCAGAGAAAAAAATTCGTAGGTGTTAAGTCAGGACTTCAGGGAAGCCACAAAATTGTACCGTTGGCCGTTGTTGCCGTTGTACCGTATCCAGTCAATAGAAGTAAGTATTGTCGGCATTTGTTCTGTGTGCTGGAGCGCTGTCTTGCTGCCAGACAATATTTTGCACGTCAAGAGTATTTACCAAATTACATATTTCTCCTCTGAGAAGTTCAATGCATTTAAGTCCATCAAAGAGATAAAGTACTGAACCTGTTTTGCTTCTGAATAGAAATATATTGGTGTGGATTTTCTGACGCTCAGTTATGTGAATTCCTTCCATTAAAAACGCCACTTGTTGTAAAAGTGGCCTCATCGGTCCACGAGATAGAATCTAATAAATTATAAAAACAAATAATAATAGCAATACCAAACATGGTGGCAGTGGTAATAGTAGTAGTAGTAGTAGTACCAGCGTTGACGCTGCGGCAATGTAATGGTGTTAATAACAGCATTACGAACCTATAAATTCTTCATTTTGTAAATGTCTATGAAGCATTAGGTATTTGGCAAAACTCGCGCTGCCTATTAGTGTCATTTCGTATAGTTTTTGTACCAGGCGATAACAATATGGTTTATATTTGTTTACTTTCAATACTTTCTGAATCGAACTCCAGTATATTTCCAAATAACTTTAAGCATCTTGAATCGAATGTTTCGGGTTTTCTTGAAAGTAAAGTGAAATCATTTCATGCATATTTTCAGTTATAACGTTGTGGGGTTTATTTCTTTTTTCGTTATTTTTTATCGTACCAGCATTTCAGTATTGCAGGGATACTTTGTGCAAACTCGTGTCTAATGCACATGACATTCTTCTCACAAGAAAGATAGCACTCAACAATATCATTTTTTCATTAACACTATAAAAGTTATACATCATTTTCAAAGGAGTACGGAAAATAGTGTTACATGTGTCAAATTTTCGGTTCTACGAAAACATATTTATTCTACATAGCGATTTTGATATTTATTATTCATGGCGAGATTCAGTCTTTCAAAGCAGAATATTGAGCAAATTATTACGTAAACCTACAACATATATATTTTGTTGGAATCAAGAAGAGGCAGAGATTCCGAAAAACTAATAATATACAGGGTATTCCATTTAAAAAAACATAAGTTTGGTTCGTATTTTTGGAACGCCCTGTATAATTTCAATTTTCATAAACTCATCAAACTCACAGAATCATTTCCTATAACTTTTATTTTAACTATTTTGGTCTAACTCAAAAAATAAAAAAATTAAGGGGGTAAAATGTTATATGGAATAACCCTGTACATTTTACGAAAAAAAGCCCTCGTGATAAAAACTTTTGCTTGTAACTGAAATGAAGTCGTCATTGAGAAGGTGAACGTTTCATGTACGGGGTGTCCGGAAAATTAAAAAATATGAAAATGCCATAAGAGTAAACTACCTTTATTTAACTCTTTCAAAAAAGTAGTAGGTACTTTGCAGAAGATAAAACAATTCGTACACAAAACTGTTTTAACTTTTTAAAGAATGCGTGGTACTTTTCCATTTCATTAGTGAAAAACATATGGAGAATATTCTACTTGAAATATGCTCATCTTCAAAGAAGTGTGATCTGATTATTCAATAGAAGGAAATCGCAGATCAAACATTTTATTTTTCTGAATTATTGTCAACTAGATGGTATTTTAAAATGAGGATTCTAGGAACTCCAATATCGCAAATGTTGTGAAGCAACTATGACATTTGTCGAAGAAGGAGATTCGTTCGAAAACATTATCTGTTGATGGAAGTTTTGTTCCATACCTCTGATCCATAGACAAAAGTCAAGACGATTCGTTTCGTCGCCTGCCTCTAAACTGTGATTGAAAGCTGGATAGTATGGCAGAATGTTATTTTGTTTTAAAATGTATTACATTTTTCACAACTCCTTAAGTACTCTGAGCATCTCCTCAGTAATTCATTCACTGACAGCAAAACTAGCACAGTAGTATCATCTTCATCGTCATAGCTTTTCTGGGTTTTTCGAACGAAGTACAGAAACACAAAAAAAATTATTAGTTATTTTTGTTACAACTCATTGAAATAACGTCAAGGATTAAATAATTTTTATTTTAAATCAGAAGCAACATTTTTTATATAAAATATTTCTGTTCACTCTGATCGAGGGGATAAATCTTTATAAATAATCAAAGTTGGCCAATTTTATCACGAATGGAAATTCTTCAGTAACTTTTAATTCCTAGAGAAACTTTTTCTAAAGTGTAAAATAAAGGTGGTTTAGTCTTATGACATTTTATTTATTTTTTTTTCATTTTCATTCATATTTTATTAAAAATTCATTTTCATTTTTTTTAAATTTAAAATAACAATTAAGTAATTTAAAAAATGGAACTATTAATTTAAAGAATTAATATACCTATGGGAATTTTACAAATTCTATAGAGTATTTAATTCCTAATGTTATTTTTGATACCTAAAAGAGATTCACTGTTTTCAAAAAACGAGGTATTTTCGATTTCTGTTATTCTTTTTAAATATAAAATAAATTTATCATAAAATTAAATAAATCTAAAATAATTTTAAGTTAATTAGTTTCAAAAACAATATTTTTTAATTGATAACAATATATTTAATTGTAAGAAAGCTTTCTATCATTCAAAAAACGGATAATCTCCGAGTTATAATTATAAATTTAAAATGAGTAATATTATAAATGAATGAATGAGAATAAGTTGTAAATAATTTTAAGGTTTTTCGAAAATTTGTTACCGGGCAATAGACACGAAGGGCCTGATTAACTATTGCCGAATGGCGACAGGTTTGAGAACAGTTCTGGATAATTATTTTCTAATTTATATATTATTTTTGGACATCACAACACAAAGATTTTTGCAATATTATATTTTTATTTTAATTAATTAAGGTTACTTACAATTAATTCAATTTAAACAAAATAAAATATGAAAACTGAACAGCATTGAATACGAAAAATACAATTACTATTATAAATATGTTATGAATTTTTATGCAAAGTGATAACAGACGTTAAGCCAACAAAAATACGTTGTAATTGCATAAAACAAAATACTTCAAATTATTCTCGCGGTAATAGGTATAACAATGTTTTGATTAGCTAGATCATACATACAGGGTGTTTGTAAATAAGTGCGAAATATTTTAGGGGGTAGTTGCTGAAGTTATTTTGTGAAAAAGTTCATATAAACGTAGGTCAAAATATGCTTCGTTTCCGAGATACAGTGTTTAAATTTTAATTTTTTATTTATTTTTGTTAATTATTTCAAAAAGTTTTAAAGATATTGACTCGAAATATGAACACCGCTTTGATGAGATATATGTGCATTTTTTGGGGTGATCCGAATATTTCTACTTGCACCAGTGGCGTTCGTGCGAGAATGCCACAACCGTTTTTAATAAAAAAAATGGTACGCCACTGACTTTTTCCGTTTTGATATTTTTTTAGAAATCCGCCATCAATTCTGAATGAAATTGGCCTCTTCAATTTTTTTCTTAGGATGCACCGTTTTTGAGGAAAAAAATAAAACATATTTTATTGCAAGTTGTGTATTTTTAATTTCTCTTAATACATTATCTAGTATTTCTAAATAAAATACAACCATCAAATTACGAGTCAATATCTTTAAAACTCTTTGAAATAATTAATAAAAATAAATAAAAAATTAAAATTGAAACATTCTGTAGATCGAAAACGAAGCATATTTCGACCTAAGTTTATACGAACTTTTTTTCACAAAACAACTTCGGCAACCACTCCCTAAAATATTTCGCACATATTTACAAACACCGTGTATATGATTAAAATTGGTCATTTCTGTTGGATTTTAGAAATAATAAATAATCAGAGTAAAAACGATGCGGAACTTTATAAAAAATCTCGGCTTAAATTTTTTTTAACTTTTAATTATTGTAATTAATAAAATTATATTTTCAATAAAACATTCTAATAACATTTTTGGATAATGAATTGCTCTTCCGATATTTTAATGTTTTTTCAAGTGTATGCAACGCTTATTCTAAATTTAAAAAAAATTAATAACATTAAAATGGCTGCTCGAGTAAAAAAACTTTCGTTTTTTGAAACAACAGTAGGAATAAAATGCACTTATTGAACTTCCAAAATACAAACCGGCGTCGGAGTCTTTTGGATCTTCATCAATAGTTGTCAAATGTGTGTAAACTGTGATGGATAATTTTATGTTAGCCTATTTTATCATTAATTTCATAACCCTCCCCTTGTATATCGAAAATCAATCGCTTTAATTTAATCGTTTTAATCGTTTAGACTAATATAAGAAACAACCTTACGAAGTTATGACATAGATTTACAAAACACCGTATATATTCTGGATTTTAAAGGAGTTATCACAGTCAAATAGAAAATTTTGAAATTATTTCCTTAAACTTAAAAAACTAATCTAATGATTGGAAGGATCTTGAATTGTTAAATTTTTGTTTAACCAACGGTATTTATTTATAATCAGTTTATTTACAATCGATGTACAATCAAATTACTTGTCTGAAAACCGTAATTGTTTACAAATCAGTTCAATTGACACCAAATTATTGTAGACCGTTGCTCTGTTCAAGGACATATACATTTGTATCAGTTCCAATATTTGCATTGAGTTTTGAACAAGAAAAATTAATCACATACGAACAAATTTTCAAAGGTAAAGTACATCTAATTGTCTATACATAAAAATGCTAAATATATAACTTATTTTCTTTGATTTCAGGTAATCAACTGGCGGCAAAAGCAAAACAAAATAGGCACGTAAATGCGTTTTCTTTTTTGGAAAATTCAAGGTTTATAAAAGATAGGTTTGTTTCAGACAGGTTTAGATGTAAAAAAAATACAATGTTAAATTAATAATAAAATGTAAACTGGTTATAATATAAATTTTTATATTTCAGTTGTAACCAATCTATATATTTATTACGTGTACACATACCTGATATAGCAGCTACGAACTGAGGAAAAGTACCTTTAAAAAAACTGAGGAAACTTAAATTCGGCATATTTGCACCGGAAGACTGTCGAGCACAAACTGCAGGAAGTCGATCTGACTAGCTAAGATTTGCTTCATCGAGTCTTCAGTCTCAGCTGATGTTTACTTACTTCATTCTCCAATCAGTTTTACCAACAAAGATTTGACATCTAGATGTTATAGATTACGTCTAATATGTCAACATTTTTTAAGTAAACAAACACAATAGGTGTGTATTAATATTAAAAAGTGGCAACAAACTTTATCTGATGTTACAAATTAATAATAAAACAAGCGATGAATGCTGCTGTTTCTATGACGAATATGAAAAATTATTGTAGAATGTGTCACACTTACGATTGAGCTTTCAACAAAATTAAAAATAAAAATAATATCTATAGAATTAAACAATTATATTTCATAATTTCTATTCATCTTTCTATTAAACATACCAACCTGATATAGCTGCTACAAATTGAGGAAAAGTTCCCCTAAACATTTCACCAAAGTTTATGACCATATTTGCAATATTTCAGGAATCGTATAAAAAATTTGTATAATAAAAACTATTCTCACTAAAGTTACTTTAACGATAGTTTCGACGACTCATATTTAGTTGCTTTATTTTTGTATTAAGGACTAATTTAAATAAAATATTCAAGAGATAATTTTTTAGATAAAAAAATTACTCGCGTACTATGAGTCTAGTAAAAAATTCCATACAAATATTAAAAAGGAAACGCAATTATTTTATTTAAACTAGTTAACGCAGGTAAATTATGTGCAGTTATCACCTTACCATTCATCAATAAAATGTTTACATCTAACTCTTTTTGCAAAATCGTCTGTGTTTATTTTGATAGTACATCATCATTGACCTTAGTCTGGATAAATATGTTGTAAAAAGAAATTGTCACTTATAAGCATCGATATACTACAGGTGTGGACTAAAAAAAAATTCTGACCTGAAACATAGTTTTGTCCAGAGGTACGTAATGAATAAAATAAAATTATAGTTTTTCTCATGTCTCAATTAAATTTTCATTACATTATATTATGATTAGCACAATATTGAAAGTCTACAGAGCCAGTACCACCTTCAGAAGGAATATAGATTTATATCAGCATCTGGAAACCCGCATTCCCATTAAATGAATTTTCCCATGTTTTAACACTATTTTTTGTTATACCTACATTTAAAACTATGATATCTCGAAAACGATTAAGTTTAGGTACATGATGTACTATATGAATTTTGTTTAGAATTTCGAGGAGAACTGAAATATGGAATAATATACAGGGTGTTCTATTTGTGTCTTATGGTTTTTCGATAGTTATTTTACTTTAGGAGATAATCGACCATTTCCATACATATCAGTGACCCTGTAGACAGGGTGTTCCGTTTATGTTTCAAAAAAACTTGTGTGCAAGTTTCTTCATGGAAAAATAATGGGAGCAGTTTTTTTCTTAGACAGCCTGTTTTCGAGATACATCATTGTGTTGAATTTGTTACTTTCCAATTGGTTTTATTTAATTATCTTTAAATTGGCAAAAGATAAAAATGTCAAAATTTGTACACGAGTGAACATCAACTGTGTTAATAATGATGTGCAAACGGTTTCTTTCTGAAAAGCAGTGTCGCCGATACACGTAATTCGAAAAAAGAATACCTATGTAAAAAGTCAAAATTTGTTACATTTCTAAACGGTTTTGTAAACTCTAAAGCATACTACAAAAAAAGATATACTTGTTGAAATTCGGTAGTATGTATCATTTTCGAAAAAAATTAAGTTGCATTTTTTGCTCACATAAAGCGCCACAAGTACAGTGACAGAATATTAAATTGAAAGAGGACGTTACCATTGAATGAGCTAAAGACATTTAGCTACCAACAGTATTTGCATTTAAGACTATAATTTTAATTTCTTACGTATCACATGAAACAGTTAAATTGTAAAATATTTTATTAACTAAAGAAAAAATTAAATTTATTTTAAGTTTCAGCTTGTAAAGTAACATTTAAAATAGTTAATCAAAATAAACAATTATATAAAATAATAACAAATTTTAGATACTACCACTACTAAAATAACAATTGCTGAATGAACTTCGGCTTAATTATTTATTTATTTATTTATTTATTTATTTATTTATTTAAAATACACAACCAACAGGCGATGCCCAATAACAGGATATGTTAAGTCTAGTACTAAAATATAAAAAAAGTTAAAAGAGAGAAAAATTAACTATGATAAAATAGATAAAAAAAAATAAAAGTAGTGCAAACTTACATATAACATAAATATAAAGAACAAAATAAAATGGAAACAAACTATAAAAGACATATATGAGTTTGATATTAATATTACTTAAAACGCCTGGACAGTCCAAAATATTATCTAGAACTTTATACAAAACCATTACTTGAAAAACAGATCTTCTTTTAGCAAGGACATGAATATTGAAACGCTCAAGTAATAGATCATGCGAAAAACCCTGAATTTCGACAATTATACATTTTTTGTAGTATGCCTTAAAGTTTACAAAACCGTTTACAAATGTTACAAATCACCTGTATCGGCGACAATGCTTTTCAGAAAGAAACTCTTTGCACATTATTCTTAACGTCCAGTTGATGTTTACTCGTGTACAAATTCTGACATTTTTATCTTTAGCCGATTTGAAGATAATTAAGGAAAACCATTTTGGAAAGCAACAACTTCAACACACTGTATCTCGAAAACAGGACGTGCAAGAAAAAACGTTACATGAACTACCCCCTTTATTTTCCCATGAGCAACTTGCACACAAGTGCACGAAACATGAACGGGACACCCTGTATAGTTAAAATGTATAATTTTTTGAATTTATTAATCGCTTTTATAAAAAAGAGTATCAATTTAATTAAGTCCAGTTACCCCAATCTATAATATTATATGTTAACTGTGCATAAATAATAGCATAATAGTAACTCATTACAAATATTTTCAATGCAAGTATCAGACGAAAGTGATGAATCATTCATGGACTCTATCAAGAAGAAATGTAATTTTTTTTTATGTTGTAGCCTTCGAGTTAATAATTTTGTTATTCAAGGTAACAGTTTATTGGATATGTTGTTTAAATGGAGTCATTTTGTCACCATGTATGCTGTTCTGTCTAACAAAATAATCAGCTGCAATGAAATTATTATATTTACAAGTGAACCTTGTACCCTGTATATGGTTATGTTTCGGATGAAACATATGATTACAGTATAATTGCTGCTAAAAAACGCAGAGCGCCCTGAGAAGTTGTTTATCTAAACTTGATAGATGGCAGGGGTAAGATACTGGTGCTGAAACCCCTCACTTGAAATTTCACTCCAGTGTCCGCAGCAGGAAGCTCTGAAGGTCAAGGTCCCCTTTTCCCATCTGAAATCTGGAAGTGGAGATAAAGAGGAGATGAATGTTCTATTTTGACGCAGTATATTTCAGACAGACCTAGTTAATTGTGTTATTTTAATGAGAATGGAACAATAAATTATGGAAATTTGAACGGTTTGTTATCACGATCCTATTTAGTCAAAACTGTTGAATAATAATATTCACTTATAAATACTGCTTTTAAAAAACGCAACAAAAATCCTGGATATCTTTAGAATTAATAAGGTTAACTAGACGTAGGGTTAATATGAAAAGAGAGATCTTAGATAACTTCACAAATTATTTTTCAAAACTATATTAAATATAGAAATATGTTAAACAAATTAATTGAGACAACAAAAAATAAGTAGGTATAAGATGAAAACTTCAGAGTTATAGACTACTACAAAAAAATATGGAATCTAGCGGTGTAAAATCTGCAGACCGTGTTGGCTACGCGATGGTACCTCGTCGACCTATCCACCTACTGGGGAAAATTCTATCCAGATTTTGACGAACAATAACAGTGTAGTGTGCCGATGCCCCATCATGTTGAAACCATAGCCTCTCGTCGATCACGTTCCGGTTCAAGGGATTTGGGAATAAATGACATAGAATTGGCATTAGTTCGTCCTGTAAAAAACGAAGGTATCTTGTTCCAGTAAGATTGTCATCCAAGAAAAATGGTCCTACAACTCTATATTACATTAGTTTTCTGTGAGCGTTGAGTGAGATTTTCCCTCATTCAGCCCAATAACAACAATTTTGTCGATTTACGTTCCCATTTAATGTAAAACCAGCTTCCTCCGAGACAAGTATCCACTATAAAGATGGTTTTGATCGATATGGTTCATCAGTAAATCGCAAAATTCAACACGTCGATCTGGGTCGTCTTCAACTGACTGGCGTTTTTCTCATGATTAAGTATTTTTAAAACTCTCTCACTATCACTATCACTATCACGGGCCAGTTGACGAGTTCAACCGACTGGATTTTCTAGTAACAGCTAGTAACAAATTTAACTTCGTGTCGGCATCAACAACATACTGCCTCTGTCTCCGTACATTCCTCACATGGCCCATTTCTCGAAATCGTGCCTCTATTTTATTAATGATACCTTGATTTATTGGTGGCAAGTTCTGATGTGTTTCTCGGAACAGAGGAACAACCTCGCATTGAGTTCGCGTTCATCATATCCAATCATCTTCAAAATTTAAATTTTTAGCGATTCAGTTAAATAAGGCATTTTCGCTTCTCAGAATACGGTACACAAACTAACTTCCAGTGTGTAGCTGTATAAAAACACTAACAAAAAGTAGCAATATCAGTTATGGCAAAAAATTTCTATTGACTTTTTTAGTGGGGACGCACAGTGGGAAATATTGGAAAAAAATCTCGCCACTCGCCAATTTTCATCGTCTCGTCGTGATTTTTTTTTAATAATCTCGTTGTAATCTGAATTTTCATATTCCGGTGAGGTTTATTCGAAAAACCCTTTTTTTAATGCTTAGGGAGCGCCCCTTATTATGACCCTTGATGATATATCTGATGTTTTTTCTTCAAAAACCTAACTCCAAATACAGGGTGTCTCATAATTAGCTGCCAACCTTGTTTCAAACTGTTATCTTCAACGGTTTCTGAGAAAATCGCTCTTGAATTAATCCCACTTTGGTCAATTTCATAGTAATTTAAACAAATAATAATAATAATAATAATTTAATACGTAATCAGTAACGCACATTATTGATGTAGAACAATTATGATATGATGATTTGTTTATGGCTTTTGCGATGGTAATGCTGCGCGGCAGAACGCGAGTACGGCAGAAGGTTTCCAAACAGAAGGCTGACATCAAGGAGGACATTCCTCACTGTATTCCGCAATTTAGCTGCAACCGTCACTTTTCGAAGGGATCATAAGATGGAAACTTAATTTTGATAACAGACAACAAGCTATTTTAAAAACTGTTCAAAAAACCCTCCACCTTCTCTGATACAAAGTCTTGCCCTAC